CTGATGGCTAAGGATGTTGAGCACTTTCTTAAATGTGTCTTGGCCATTTTAGCTTCCTCTATTGAGAATTTTCTGTTTAGTTCTGTACCCTACCTTTTGATTGGATCCTTGGGTGTTTTGGAGACTTGCTTCTTGAGTTCTTTGTGAATTTTGGAGATTAGCCCTCTGTCAGATGTGGGGTCAGTGAATATCTTTTACCATTCTGTGGACTGCCTTTCTGTCTTGTTGACTGTGTCCTTTGCCTTACAGAAGCTTTTTAGTTTCATGAGGTCCCATTTGTTAATTGCCGATCTCAGTGTCTGTGCAACTGGTGTTATATTCATGAAGTGGTCGCCTGTACCAACTCATTGAAGAGTATCTCCCACTTTCTCTTCTTAGAGTTTCAGTGTGGCTGGATTTATGTTGAGATCTTTGATCCATTTGGACTTAAGTTTTGTACAAGCGATAAACATGGATCTATCTGCAGTCTTTTGCATACCAGTACCCAGTTATGCCAGCACCATTTGTTGAAGATGCTTTCTTTTATCCATTGTATAGTTTTAGCTACTTTGTCAAAAATCAAGTGTTCATAGATGTGTGGGTTAAAATCAGGATTTTCAATTTGGTTCCATTCGTCTACCTGCTTATTTTTGTGCCAATACCAAGCTGTTTTCAGGACTATAGCTCTATAATAGAGTGTGAAATCAAGTATGGTGATGCCTCCTGAAGTTCCTTTATTGTATAGGGTTGTTTTGGCTATCCTGGGCCTTTTGTTTTTCCATTTAAAGTTGATTAATGTTCTTTCCAGGTCCTTGAAGAATTGTGATGGAATTTTGATAGGGATTGCATTGAATCAGTAGACTGCTTTTGGCAAGATTGCCATTTTTATTATGTTGATCCTACCAATCCAAGAGCATGGGAGATCTTTCCATTTTCTGGTATCCTCTTTAATTTCTTTCTTTAAAGACTTAAAATTCTTGATATACAGGTCTTTCATTTCCTTGGTTAACATTATCCCCAGATATTTGATGCTGTTTATGGCTATTGTAAAGCATGAGGTTTCTCTGATTTCTTTCTCAGTCACTTCATCTTCTGTATATAATAGGGCCACTTAATTTTTGAGCTTACCTTGTATCCTACCACATTGCTGAAGGTGTTTATCAGCTCTAGGTGTTCCCTTGCAGCGTTTTTCGGGTCACTTATGTAAACTATCATATCATCTGCAAATAGTGAAATTTTGACTTCTTCTTTTCCAATTTTTATCCCCTTTATCTCCTTTTGTTGTCTTATTGCTGTATCTAGCACCTCAAGTACAATATTGAAGAGATATGGAGAGAGTGGACAGCCTTGTCTTGTTCCTGATTTTAGAGGAATTGCTTTGAGTTTCTCTTCGTTTAGTTTGATGTTAGCTGTTGGTTTACTCTATATTGCTTTTATTATATTCAGGCATGTTCCTTTTATCCCTGATCTCTCTAGGACCTTTATCATGAAGGGGTGCTGGATTTTGTCAAAGGCTTTTTAAGCATCTAGTCAGATGATCGTGTGGTTTTTCTTTCTCAGTTCTTTTATATGGTGGATTGCCTTGATAGATTTTCTAATGTTGAACCATCCCTACATTTTATAAATCAGAAATTATAAGTAAAATAGTTCAAAGCCCTTATACCAGTGTACAAAATGCAGAGTTGTACGTCATTCTCATGGTACATAAAGACTTTACGGAGCCTCTCAAAATAGTTATGGATTCTCAGTATGCAGAGAGTTGTCTTACACATTGAGACTGCAGACTGCAGAATTTGTTCATGGTGGTATAGAATTAATCTCATTGCTTTTACAATTACAGGAAACCATCAGAAATAGGTCTCATCTAAGATACATATATATATATGACACATCAGCCATATACTCTAGCACAAGGAAATGATTTTATCGATCTTTTATTAATAGGAAGTGTGTTGCAAGCTTCAGACTTTCATAAGGAAAACCATGTTAACACAAAGGTTTAAAGAAGGAATTTTCAACTACTTAGTAACAAGTCAAGGAAATTGTAAGAAACTGTCCCTCCTGTTTATTCTAAAATCAAATTACATTACCAGCAGACAGTAATCCCAAAGTTATTTGTGGAAATGAAATTTGGCATATGTACTTTTCACTTTCTAGAATTTGTCAGTTTGAAATACATACACCATATCATACAAAAATTCTCAGGCTTCCAATGGATTACAGCCATCATCTCTGAAAAGGCTGATTCTGTAATTACTCAACTCTTTGTGTTGGTGGCTCCACAAATAAAAGCAGACAATGCTCCAGCGTATGTCTCCAGCAAAATGGAATATTTTTCAAATATTATAATATAAAATTGTAACTAGTATACCTCAAATCTCACAGGACAAGCAGTGGTTGAGAGATCTAACTGAACCTTAAAAGAAAGGCTTCATAAACATCCAGGGTTTACCACGACCCCAAACACAGAGATTACATAATGCTTATTAACTTTGAACTTTCTTAATTCTAATGAAAGTAAAAACTGCTGCAGAAAGACACTGCACTACAGAGAAAACTTCTGACCTGAACCATCAGTGTATTTCAAGATGTTATGACCTTAGTCTGGAAACCAGGATACGTGTTACTTTGGGGAAATGGTATTGCCTTTTTTTCCATAGGGGAAGAAAAACTTTCATTTCCATCATATTAATCAAAATTCGATCCAAACAGAAGAAACCAGAGGAGGAGGTTTCTTCAGTGTCATCTTCTACTATGATTAACGAGACTTCAAAAAAGTAAGATATGTGTTTTGTTTATCATCTTTACATGAAACCTCAGCTCCAAACAGTGAAAAAATACTGAGCGTATGGATACCTGAAGGAGAATGATTAGCTATTCTGAGGACCATCAAACAAATAATAATTCAGTGTGTGGTATCAAAGTCTAAACCTCTTTAAATTGTTTTTTAATAATATCCATTACTGTTTGCTTCTTTATATTATTTATACCCCATTCATTTAACTGAATCTGGCTTTGGAGTTGGACTGGCTACCCTAGTCTTAATCCAAGCATATTGTTAAAAAATGAAATTCAGAATTTCTGTATTATGCCAAAGAGCCATTGATACAAATCAAAAGATAAGAAAATTAGAGATTTTCATCTATGTATACTCACTTCCTTTTCTGATAGTCTAAACTCCTCCATGTTTACTATCATCCTTATTGTTGCCTTTCCCCATATGAATACATTTAAAAATTGAAAATTCCTTTGTTACCATTAATGTTTGAGTTTTCTGTAGAACAAGGAATTACCTAACAGCAATCTTCAACAGCTTCTGGAAGAGATTGGGGCCCCACTTCATGGACACCATCTGATTCATCTTGATGCATCTGAACTGCCCCATATCAATGAGGGTTCATGAACAGAAAATTCAATTTATTATTTTGGTTATGCAAAAGACTCACAGAAAATTAGACCGCAGAAAGTGCAGATCAGAAGAGATTGTTATGAGACTCTTAATGATCTTCAAAAACTACTATGAGAAATCTCTCAACAAGAGATAATTATTGGAGTAGAAGTGCATGATTTAAAACACCTGAAAGTCACCTTAAAAAGAGACAAAGACCAAAATATTTGACGAATCTTATCAGCTGATGCTATAAAAAATTCGAATGGGTAGAAAAGAGAATACTAGAAGCACATTTGCACCATCTGGATCCAAAACAAGACTGCATTCTGGATATTTTACCATCTACAGAATAGGAATTTTAATACACAGGGAGTACATCATACTAGAATGTGTATTCCTGACACATAAACAGAATAAAAAATTGAAAACATACTTAGAAAAGATCTCTGATTTGATATTAAAAGTTTATTCAAGGCTTAGTCAACTGATTGGAAGAGACCAAGTGGTTATTGTTGTACCTTTAACTAATGAGGAAATTTCTTCCTAATGGAAGGATAATGAATATAGGCTAAGAGCTTGCAGTAACTTTTTGTGAATGATTAGTAACAATTTTCCCAAAACTGAGAGAATCAAATTCATAAAGAATTGTTATTTAATTCTTCTGAATATTTTGAGAAAAATGCCTATGTCTAGAGTTTATTCATTCTACATTGATGGAAAAAATCAGGTAAGGCATTTTTTAAATCATGAAATATAAGTAAAGTAGTTCAAAGTGCTTACACGTCTGTACAAAGGGCAGAGTTGTACATCATTCTCATGGTACATACTTTACAGAGCCTCTCAATATAGGTATGGATTCTCAGTTTGCAGACAGTTGTCTTAGACATTGAGACTGCAGAATTTGATCATAACTCTACAGAATTAACCTCATTGATTTTAAAATTACTGGAAACCATATATATATATATATATATATATATATATATATATATATATATATGAAAACTCAGCCATGTACTCTAGCACAAAGAAATGATGTGATCAATCTTTCATTAGTGAGACTTTCATAGGAATCCCCATATTAACAGCAAAGGGTTAAAGAAGGATTTTTCTACCACTTGGTAACAAGATAAGGAAATAGTAAGAAATTTTCCCACCTGTTTATTCTACAATCAAAATCCATTACTAGCAGGCAGTAATCACAAAGTGGTTTGCAGAAATGAAATTTGGAAGATGGATTTTTCACTTTCTAGAATTTGGATGTTTGAAATATGTACACCATACCATAAACACTTTCTCAGGCTTCCAATGGGTTATGGCCATCAGCTCAGAAAAGGCTGTTTCTGTTGCTACACAACTCTTTCAGTAGGTGGCTGTTATGTATATAACTTCACAAATAAAGCTGACAATGCTCCATAACTAGTATACCTCAAATCTCACAGGTCAAGCAGTGCTTGAAAGATCTAACTGAACTTTAAAAGAAATGCTTCATAACCATCCAGGGTTTACAAAGACCCCATACACACAGATTACATAATGCTTTATTATGTTGACCTTTCTTAATGCTAATGAAAGTAAAAAGTCTGCAGAAAGACACTGGACTACAGAGAAAACTTCTGAATGGACTTACCAGTGTAGTTCAAGGTTGCTATGATCTCAGTCTGGAAAACAGGATATGTGTAACTTTGGGGAAACATTTTCCCTTTGTTTCCACAGGAGAAGAAAAACTTTGGATACCATCATAGTAATCAAGAGTCGATCGAAACAGAAGGACCCACAGGAGGAGCTTTCTACAAGGTCATATTCTACTATGGATAAGGAGACCTCAAAAAAGAAAGAGAAGTCTTCTGTTTATTGTCTTTACAGGAAACCTCAGCTTCAATGAAAAAATACTGGACATATGGATACCTGAAGAAGAATGGTTAGCTATTCTGAGGACCATCAAACAAATAATAATTCAGCTTGTGGTATAAAAGACAACTTCTCATTAAATTGTTTTTATAATATCCATTTCTTTTTGTTTCTTTATATTTTTATACCCCATTCATTTAAAAGAAGCTGGGTTTGGAGTTGGATTGGCTCTCCTACTCTAAATCCAAGCATATTGTTAATATAAAATTCAGATTTTCCGTATTATACCCAAGAGCCATTGATACAAGACAAAAGATAAGAAAATTAGGCATGTATGTTGTTTACACTGACTTCCTTTTCTGAATGTCTTATCTCCTCCAAGTTTACTCTCTTCTTTATTGTTGCCTTTCCCCATTTCAATAAATTTAAAAGTTGACAATTCCTTTGTTAACATTTATGTTTGAGTTTGGCATAAATAAAGGAATTTACTAAGAGCAATCTTCAAATGATTTCGCAACAGAATGGGGTCCTCATTCATGGACTCCATCTGATTCATCTTGATGCATCTCAACTGCCCCACATCAATGACTCCACATGAAAAGTACCATCCTGAAACTATCTTGGGACTGCATCACTTGATAACTCCAGAACATGGACCTGGTTCAGAGCTCTTTCTACAATCTTGCCAGAGCTTTGGACAAGAGCTTCAATCAGCACTAAAATTCCAGTCAAGAAATTCAATCAAGCATCTCCTGCCAAACTGAGAATTTCTAACCTACTTAAGATTTTTGTTACACTAATGTTTTTCTTCCCACATTCACCAATGAGATTGTCATCATCTAAATTTTGCAGGAAGTAAATGTGAGAATTCCACATCCATTTTTCCTCTTGTTGACATTGCAGGGTAGTTTACACCTGTCAGTGTTAGTTTTCAGTTATTTTAAGGTTGGGATTTGAAAGAAGTCATCAGACTTGGGTATCTCTTAAAGATAAGCTTTGGTTTAAATGGGAGAGATGTTTGAGATGCTTTGTACATTGACAGAAGTTAGTGTAGTTGTATGCTTAAATATCTTCTTTAGAACAAAAGAGGAATTTTAGAAGAGATATTAGGACTGTACCACTAACCACGCCCAGCTAAGGTGTAGCTAGAAGCACATTCAGAAATGGTAATAAAAGGAAGTTTACTGTTCTGCTAACCACACCCACTTTGGTAGTCGAATGTACGGAGGTGGTAATAAAAGTTGATACAAGAGAGATGATTGCTCCCTTTCAGGCTTCTAGTCCTATAGCAAAAGCTGCTGATTCACCTTGGTTGCAAGTTTTCTCTTGTAAGTACTTGCCACAATAAATCCTTACCTATACCCTCATCAAGTGTGCTGTTTATCTTTACAATAATCTGTCATCCTTCCAATGGGGAAAGTACTTGTCAAAATCTGGAAATCTGCTCTCTTTGACTTTGAAATGGATGGCAAGGACTGTGAAGCTGTCTTGTTGATCAGGTTAAGATCAGACTTACTGACCCACATATAGAAGGTCTCTTTCCTGGCAAAATATATACATATTGAAAAGTTATCAATGTTCAATTTGCCAGAATTAATTATACAAAAGAAAAATTCCCTGCAGTTTTGATGGGCTCAATTTATTAACTGAAGTCTGCTTTACATGAAAATTGGATAAAAAACTGAGAAAAACACATCAAAAATGAGAAAAGTCATCCTCTGTAAATTTTAAAAGGCATTGCATCTTTTGGATTTTATGAAAATATATTTAAAATGATATGCTTACTATATTTTTCTTCCTCCTCCTCCTGATCTCCCCTGTTTACATCCAAATCTCCCACACATAACCACTGAATTTGTCCTGTGCTTCAGATTCCAGTATGGATTTTGCATTTGTCAGGTAACAGTCAAAACTTTGTAGAATCATGCAGTGTGTAATCAAATGCCATCACTTCATGGGTTTGTATATGATAAGTAATGCCTACAGTAATATCAGAAGCATTTTAAGAGCAGGCCTTTTGTTGTGTTTTTCTCTCTGGATGAGGTCTTTCTATGCTAAAATACCACATTTAATACTCCTCTGAATTTCCAAAAGTTCACTTGAGGTTCTCCCTAAGTAGAAAACGTTATTTTTATTAATGTGTCTGATCATGGGACCCCTGAGGTTAACCTTATATTCCTACTTTGTAAAAAGTAAAGTAAAAGATTATCACATGTTTTAAATGCTTAAATACAAGTTTTGAATGCTTTCCCAGATAAACAAGCAAAGAAATCAGTTATTGAAAACTCTGAGAGTACATTGTCAGGTATCACAACTAGATCAATCAGAAAAAAAGGAATAATAATGTGTATTCTCCATTCTCCTGGGCTATTCATAGGGAATGGTCCCCCTTGTATTTCTCAGAATTCTGTAGCAGCAAAAGATGCTAGGAAATGGGCTTATGATGAGTTTTAAGGATAATGAGGTAAGAAAACAAGAGAGGAATTGAGATATAAGAAGTCTAACTTACCTTAGAGCAGAAACTTGAGACTGAGGTGGTTAAAGGAGACTTTACAATGCCTTTCACACAACTGGGATCTTTTCTTTGAAAAAGCACAGAGGGATCTAGGCAATTTGGTCACCTTTTAGGTGACTTGAAAATGGAATTCCATGGTATGTGAACTTGAATAAAAATGGGCTGACGTGGGATAAACGTGATCCATATTTCACGAATCAGAACCTGAGTGCCTAGACAGGAAAATCATAGCAAATATGTCCTTGGACCTCTGAAGTATTATATCCTGAGGTTTGAAATTACCAGTCATAGAAAAGAGGTACCTACACAACAAAATAAGATTCAATGCTTACCTCCTCCAGCCAGGAGGGGAAAAGTCCAATGCAACTTCAAAGTGCAAGAAAATAGGAATGAAATTATGTCATGGATGGAATTGTATCCTGACTGCTAAGTCTAGCATGAACTGGTAGAGAAAGCAGTTCTCAAACACAGACAGGTTACGACATCTATACCAAAGATGCAAGTTTTGAATTCTTCTATACCTGGATGTAAGATCATAATGAGAATGTCTTCAGAGAAAGGATCTCAGGTGTTCATTTTGATATTTATGACATTATTAAGATAATTCTGGAAAGGCAAAACTTCTTTGGAAAGTACAATCATGAGTTTTATTCCTTGAGGTGGTGCTGAAATCTTACACAGCAAAGGTGTTTCAGATGCCCTTCCAAACATAGATGTTTTCCAATTTAACAGTGGCACTTGTAAATGAGATGGTAAACTTTTTTTCTCTGAAAGAAAGGCATTTTCTATAAGAACTTGAGGAGCACACTGCATCCTTGAATTTAATTGATGGTTTCTGTGTGAGAACTGTGTATTTTACCACTATTCTAGGACAAGTTTCTTTATTCAGTTTCCTTTTCTTTAAACATTTTTAGGTACAGGTATCCATTCAACACATGTCAACACTCCTCAAGACTTCATTTTATAGTATCTCAGTGAAACTTAAAAAATGTTGTTTGATCTTCATTTGGATGGATCTCAATGATTCTGAATATAGGGTTTGCGTTTCATAGGTGTCACACTTGCGAAACTGAGTGTATCTGCTTCCATGTATAAGGCCTGTTTGAAACTACCTATCTCTCTGTTTGCCATGGGAGTGTTCTGCAGATGCATGGATCTGAGTGTAGTGCTTTGTACAAGTCAGAGTTGTATCTATTTGCAAACTATATTATGTGTGATTGCTGTGTTTTCTTCATTAAGTACACATGTTGCAAAATACCTGAAGTGCAAACATCCTAAATTGGGTGTCAAAAACTTACTACTGTTGTGACATAGACTTTACCATGTTAGGTTTTGATGAAGTTGCCATGCCCACTGTCTGATCACACCATTATCTCTAGCAGAATAATTAGGGTCAATTGCCAATGAATGGGAGAGTTGAGGAAATGAAAACTGTCTGGGGCCCCAAGGTAAATTTAATCCTTTAGTTGATTCAACCTTGCCTTCTGTGCCTTCACTCCTAGAATCCTACCATGTAATATTGGGAAAACATGATACACAGCTACTGAAATTATTTCAGGTTCTGATCTTTGCCATGTTCCTGACAAGGTCCAAGACTGTCATCTGCTGTTTATTGCATAGCATTAACATATTACCATCTGAAAATTACTTCAACTCACCAGAGCAGGATGCTTAACCTCAAGGTTCTTTATTTCCCATGGACCTCCTTCTTAGTATTCTTGTTCAAGTTTTCTGGTCATTCATTATCATAAAAGCCAGGGAATCCTTTATATATATACCATGCACCCGATGTGTGATGAGCTGGTCTTCAGATGATATTGAGTCTGTGTATTTGAGGGTGCAATGGATGTGCATTACATGATGCACCCTCTTGCATGGCCTATTATTTTTGATACATGGGTGACAGAAAAATTCCTTAATCCCAAGGGATGGAAAGGCATCTGATTTGGTCCTGCTCTCAGTGCCCATTACAGCATTAGGTCATTGGGAGTCTCCTAATATCTTCGGATTCCACAGAAAAGTAGCTTATTGATCCCCCTGGTATCCAGGGCATTCAGAGTGGTCATTCCTGTGGCCAATCTTTGCAAACACTGAGCATGTCACCATCCTGACATAGTGAGGCCCAGAGTTATTACCCTTGCTGGAACAATCAGAATGGGAGTCACATAGACACACCAATGCAGTAAAGTCATGATCATATTGTGCAATCACTGATCTGTGCAATGCAGAATGCATAAACCTCTTGACCTGAAACTTGTGCTGTCCTCCCCCGTGCAGTTGGTGCTCCATTTCTCATATCTAAGGATTTTTTAAGTCTCCAAGATAGGCAGATTGAATGTTGATCCTAGAATCTGGAGCTTAGGTACCAGTTTTTTTAATAGGAAGGCAGCACATGAATGCTGTACTGCGAATGTTATTAAATGACTCAGAAGGTCAGCTGTATTAGTAGGTGAAGGCACAGGACCCAGAGAGAGCCTGGACCTTGGGATTTTCTTTCCACTTCTCTAAAAGTCTCATCTCTGTGGCACCAAGTTGACAACCAGGATCACTGAAAGAGGGCAGATAAGATGGGACATGTGTTTCTTGCTTGTTCCTGGCAACCTAGACATGTGTAGAGTTTTACAACAAGTGGCTTATGACACAAAGCTCAGTGCTCTGCTGAGGAAGTGCAACTTGACCTCACAGGATTCTCCAGACCAGGAAACACTGTTAAGGTAATGAGGGCCTGTGTATTGGACTATGAGAAATATCAGAGGAGACTAGGCCCCCATTTCTTTCCTATCCTTTAAAATTATTTTTATTTCATCACCTCTCTGTGTGACATTGGTTTGTCATCAAAGACCCATGTTCTCAGAATGCATAGATGTACTTGAAATTGGTACATAAAAAGTTCAACATAACTCATGGCAAAGATAGTTTAGAGGGTAAGATTTTGGGAAATTCAGACGAATTGTCAGTTTGCTTAATTCTCCTTCATGGAATAAAACAGAATCAGTTCTCTTGGAATCGGAAGCATTCTTTCCAAGTTGGGTGTCAAAGGCTACTCTTCTGACGTGGATCCCATAATCAGAAAAATATGATATTCTCCATATGTTGACGTGATAGTAGTGTATTGGTGCTTTCTGGTCAGTCTGAAGACATGGCTTGATTTGGTGACTGGATGGTACATGACTATGACCCTCCTGATGTGTTTAGTTAATTGAAGAGAAAAGCAATAATTCTAACACAAAATAACTTATCTTCCATTGCTGGTAATTGGGAACAGGATGAAGGTACTGCAACCTCTGAAATTCTTGGTAATGGCGGCAGGGAATACTACAATCCTTTTCTCCTTTCCCCAATATAGGAATGTCACAATGCTGTGCCCCGGTAATGCTCAGTGATAAAATCACTGATTCCCCATCTTTGAATTCATTCTTTCAAACCCTCATAAAATCAATGAAATAAAAGCAAGGGTGAATGTACATATTTGTATAGTGTAACAGAAAGTGATTCATCATATGATACTACATGATAGTCACATTAAAATTGTTTTCCCTCAAAATATGGGAGATAAAGCAGTATGCATTGTTTTCTGTCATCCTGGAAAAGGGAGCAGTAGTAGCCATATTCGGGAAACATCACTGTTGTTAAGGGAACATCCCACCTGGCCCTCACATTGTCATTTTTATGCGTTGCTCACCATCCTTAGAGACTTATTGTCATCATAGATAAAGAAAGCCTCTCTCTTATCTCCTGTCTCTTTCCAATGATACAGGAAAGCTGGAATAGCTAGTCTCTTTGACTTTGAAATGGATGGTCGGGACTCTAAAGTTTTCTTATTGCTCATATTCTGACCAGAGTTACTGAACCACAATCAGAATGAACATATGGTCTTCTGCCTCTTAAAGCACATTTGAGATGAAAACTTATTAATTTCAAAATTGCAGCTTTAGTGATCAAAATGAGAAAAACCACAGAGCTTTGAACGATGATAAAATATTTTTAAAAACACATAAAAACTGGCAAAGATGGTCTTCTAATTAATTTTAAGAGACATTCCAGCATTTGGATTTCATGATAATATATTCATTATGAGATTTTTCTACATTGGTCATTCTCCTCATTCTGATCTCCCCTATGTTTTCCTCTTCATCTCCCTAAGAGAAGCACTGAGTTGTCCTGTGTCTATCAATGCAGTATGGCATTTTTATTTTGTCAAGTAACATGTGAACTATATAGAATCATGCAGTGCATATCCAAGTGCCATCAGGTAATGGATATTTATGAAACATGCAATGTCAACAGGAATATCAGAACTGTTTTCAAAGCAGGCCTTGTGGTTTGTGTGTTTCTGTTCCCTGTAGTTGAGGGACTGCATAGTGGACATGCATGAGCGCCATATTTGGAAGTTTGGAGTATGTCACCCTCCTGACACTGGGAGAATATGAAGTTTTTGCCCCAGCACTAACAATCAGCATGAGTTCTAGATAGACACCCAAAGCCAGGAATTTAAAAGTAACATTTACCTATCACTGAGCTGAGCATGGCACAGGACCTACACATCTGACCTAATCTAGGTGTCCCATTTCCCAGAACAGTCACAGCTATGATTTCCCAGACCTATGAATTGGAATCCTACAATAAAAAATAGTATGAATTACCATCTTCTCATGGGAGGCTTAAGGAATTACCAAAAGGAAAGGAGAGCCCAAGTTCTATGCCTTAAATGTCCTTGGATTCCTAGAAGTTTATGCTTTCTACTATTGAAGGCAGAAATCCAACAACATCCAAGGTAGTTAACCTGAATTTTCACCTTACCTGAATGTGAAATGATTGGGCCACACAATCAGTATTCTTGATCACTGTAATCCAGGAGAGAAGAGATGGAAATGTGCATAGTGCTGATACATGGCAGATTTGACATACATAGATTGTCCCAACAAGTCCTTCTGAGGGAAGCTCAGTGCTCTCCTAAAGAAGAGCATCTGCACCTCACAGGATTGCCCAGACAAGGAAACACTGCTAGGTGAATGAGGGCCTGTGCACTGGCTTATCAGAACTGCTTGAGTATACTAGGCCCTCATTTCTCCCCAGTCTTATAGCCTGGGTCTCATCATAATCCTATTGAAAATGATTTTTATGTGTTTATCGATCTGCATGACATTGTTATGTCATCATAGACCCGTGTCCTCAGAAGGCATAAATATATATGATAGTGGGTCAAAAACAGTGCTGCTTACCACGATGACAAAGACAATCTAGAAGGATGATCTCTGCAATATTCAGTCAAATTGTCAGCCAGCACTAGGCTGCTGCAAGGGATCAAGCATATAAACAATTCTCTTAGGCAAGGAAAATTTTGTGCCACCAAAATAACAGGTCAGTGTCAGAGGAATGAAATGCCCAATTTCAGAACACCCAAACTCTCTAGCAAGTTAGTTTTTGGCAATTTGTAATAAAACTGTGAAAAAGATAATGAAAAATTATAGTGTTGGATACCTGTTTGCTACCCCTAGTCAAGTTTTACACTTCAACTGTGCCACCCTCAAGCTCACTGCCGACATTCATAGCATCAGCTGACATAATATTGGGAAGGCATATTAAGAGTCTGGTGAAAACATTTTAGCTTCTGTTCAGGCACTGCGTCTTAAAAGATCCATGATCATTCATCTCCAGTTCTTTGCACAGCTCTATCCCATTTTTTTCTGAAATCATTGCCTAATCAACATTGTAAGATGTGAACCATCAAGGTTTTTGTTGCAAAAGTATCAACTACTTAGGATACCTACACCTGTACTCTTGGCCCATTCCTTATTGCATATGCATCTGAAGCCTTGTTGCTTGGAATGTCATTCATGTGGTTGAAATTCCATGAAACTCATGAGTGAAGATTTCGTCTCCACATGATAATGAGCCTGTGCATCTAGGCAAAGAGGGGAATGCGTGGATAATTGTATCCTGTCAAGTTGCCTCATATGGACTGATGCATGCATGTCAGGACAAGTTCACTAATTCTAACAAAAGGAAAAGATATCTGAGTTTGCCTGACTGATACATACATTTGAGCATGAGGAAACTGTGAGTCTCCATTTGCATTATGAACCTAAGAAAAGTAACTCAGTGATCTCCCTGCCATTGAGAGCCTGCATAGTGGAAATTCATGAGCAAAATGTTTGCAATTTTGGAGCATAGCTATATCCTGACAAAGTGGAAAAATGAAATTTTTATTCAGGAAGTAATAATAACCATGAGAGCTAGATAGACACCCCAAGCCAGGAATTTCAAGGTAATATTTGCCTAACACTGAGCTGTGCAAGGCACAGTGCCTGTACATCCTGAACCAGTCCTTGTGACCCATTTACATGAACAGTCACTGCTCTATTTCCAAATACCTACGATTTGCAAATATATAAGTAAAGATAGTTTGAAGTGCCATACTTTTCACATGTGAATTGGCCTAGGGGATACCAAAAAGGAAGGGAGAGCACATTTTCTGTGCTGCAAGTGTCAATGAATTCCTAGAAGAACGTGCCATTAAATATTTGTAGGCAGATATAAAAAAGAGTCCTAGGCAATTAACATGAACTTTCTCTTACCTGAAGGTGAAATGACAGGGGCACCAAGTCTGCATCCTGGATCAGTGAAATGCAGAATAGAAGAGATGGACATTAACAGATTTCTGATGCCAGCCAGCCTTATAATACATAGAGTACCAAAAAAGTGCATCCTTTGGCAGGACTCATGTTCCCTGAGAGAAGAGCACCCGGACTTCACAGGGTTCCCTAGACAGGAAAACACTGCTGGGTGAATGAGGGCCTGTGCACTGGCCTGTGAGAATGGCCTGAGGTGACTAGGCCACAATTACTCCCCTGTCCTTTAGCCTGGGCCTCAGCGGAACCCCAGTGAACATGAATTTTATGTCATCCCTGTTGGGGAAGTCCTGTGCATTTGTCAATAAAGCACTGTCTGGCCAATAGGGAATCTAGATAGGAGGGACTAGGAGTCCAGAAGTACTCTGGGTAGGAGAAATATAAGGAGAGTCAAGATGTGACGCCATGGAGTAGGAAGCCCGGAAAATTCTCCGACAAGAGACATACTTAGACTAACAGTTATGGGGTAATTACTTAAGTCAGAGCTAGCCAGTAAGAAACAAACAAGGCCAACAGCTTCATAATTAATATAGCCTCCTGTGTGTTTATTTGGGACTGATGCGGCTCTAGAACCAGGCTGGCTGTAAGGCTTCTCTCAAAGAAAAAGGCTTCTCTTTACATAATGGTTGTCAGAAGTGGGATTGAGTTTCCATGCAAAATAACAAAAGCTTTAAAGGAATTTTAGAAACAGAAGAATGTAGAGAAGCACAGGTTTTTGATAGCAGCATTTTTCTCAGGTGTTTTGCTAGCGACAAGCCGAGATTCACGTGGCTCGCTTACCGGAGTCTTCCTGACTTGGCATAAAAAGAAAAAAAACAGCAAGGTTGTTTTAAGAGACTCTGCTAATGATTAAAAGGTGTGTATGTACAGCTGGAAGTGGCAGCTTTTGCTGGATGTCAGCATGGACTGAGGCGGCAAGCTGGAATTATGCTTATGCATGCCATCTTGGAAACGGCAGTTTAAAACAGCCGCAGTTTTACAAATAGGACATGTGGCCAGAAAAATGTAAACATTTACAGTAAAGTCAGACTTGGATGAAGAAAAACCTCTAAAGGTTTAGAGTGTGTTTAAAAATATATGTGAGATTGAGGGAGAAAATGAAACGACAAAGTGGTAAATAAATAGAAAAGCCGGCTTTGTGGTGGTGCACGCCAGTAGGATTTACTCCAGAGGCAGAGGCAGAGGCAGAGGCAGAGGCAGGCTGATTTCCAAAGAGAAATCCTGTCTCAAAGAAAAATGAATAAAAGTAAAATAAATAAAGTAATAATAGATAAATAAATAAGCCACGTAAAGATGGAAAATACACAGAGTCTGGATACTGTATGTTCTTGTGTTTTTCAGTTTTTTCATTGCTAAGGAAGGAACAACTACTAAAGCACCCTTGATTATAAATGCTGCTGAATTAATTCAACTTATATCTTTTAAAAATGCCTTGACTTCAAAATTTAAGTATAAGGATGTGTTACTTGGAAAAGGAGATTTTGCTTATGTTTCTACAGAAAATGAAAGCTGAGGATTCCTTCCAGGCTTTTGTGGTTTGATGAACCAAGACCCCCGGAAGCGGTGGACCAGGTGTTCGAACAATTGAAACAGCTAAGATAACGCAGCTTTACAGACCCTAAATCTAAGGACTTATACAGGTTTCTGAGTTTTGTCATGATCCCCATGGTATGAACAGCGCCCCCTTCCAGCACGAAGCAGTTTGGAATGAGCGACATCCTAATTCCTATCTTGTTTATAAACCTTTGTTTTCATTTAAATGGGATTGTTTATAATTGGTTAATGATCACAACCAATCTCTTCTTTAAGAAAAAAGGGGATTATCGTATGGAAATGATTACTTTTTATTGGTATGGTTTTTCAGTTATTGATACAAATTCAAGGTCAATTTTGTGATGTGTATATTTCTCCTCTTGATTAAATATTGTACTTATACTGATCTTTTAAAATGTAATGCATAATTAAATACAGATTATAGTTACTTATAATAGTCAGAATTTATAGTTAGGTAAGTTAGGTTTTCTAGATATACAGAAATATATTTGAGATAGATAAACAGTCTTCAAACCTCTCAAAGTCCTTCAGAAAATGGCATTTAAAATGTTTTAGGGTATTTCTTGACAATGAGAAATGTCTGCTTCTGGCAACACCAATTATGTCTGAGAGGAAGATGGGCATCGAAGAAACTCATTATGGAGTTTGCTTTCAACATGGCAAGATTAGCCATTTGGGCAAGAAACTGCTCTTGCCTAGACTGTGACTGTTGCTGTATAAACTGGACATGCAGGACCCACAGGAAAGTAACTGCTGAACTCAGTCTTACAGGGTTCCTGCTTCATGGAAGAGTCTACCAGACTTTCTGCAGGACACAGAAAAATGACTGACAGACTGCCAATGAAGATGGACAGTTTAGAATTTCCTGCTTTGCTGAGAAGTGTTCCAGACACATTGTGGCCTATGGGCTGAAGATGGATGCCCCAATGTTACAGAGGAACTTCGGGTGATTGCCCAGGCAGTAAGATATCTCTGTCAATCCTAGTGTTTATATATTATCCTTCTGTGGTCTTTGATGGAGTAGAAGACAGATAGTTATAATTATAGTTTTCCTTAGTTATGATAAAAGATAAGCTACATATAGGACTTTGGACTCACAAAGATGGGATGGATGGTATTTCCTTTAAATCTTGCTAAAATATTGTAACTATGTTCTTATTTGATAACTGTTCTCTTATGTACAATTTGACTGTGTTAAAGGTAAGACCTTTCTTTTTGTTTAAATGGAAAATAGGAGATGATGGGGAAGTCTTGTGTCATTAAAGCACTGTTGAGCCAATAGGAATCGAGATAGGTGGGACTAGGAGTCCATGAGGACTCTGGGAAGGAGAAACACAAGAGAGTTCGAGATGTAACACCATGGGGTAGGAGGCCCAGAAATTTCTCTGGTAAGAGACATACTTAGATTAACATTATGGGGTAATTACCTAAGTCAGAGCTAGCCAGTAAGAAACAAGCAAGGCCAACAGCGTCATAATTAATATAGCCTCCTGTGTGTTAATTTGGGACTGATGCAGCTCTAGAACCAGGCTGGCGGGAAAGCTTCTCTCAAGTAAATTCTTCTCTTTACATAATGGTTGTCAGAAGCGGGATTGAATTTCCAGGCAAAAATAACAAAAGCTTTAAAGGAATTTTAGAAACAGAAGAATGGAGAGAAGCACAGATTTTTGATAGCAGCATTTTTCTCAGGTGCCTTGCTAATGACAAACGGAGAATCATGTGGCTCGCTTACCAGCAAGCTCTACACAAATGGTCAGCGGGAATTAGGCTCCTGCAGGAGATCAAGCAGAATCAGTTGTCTTAGTCAAGAAAAATTGGGGAGTTCTAATGTTGCATGCCAGTATCAGTAGAATAGCAATGCCCAGTTTTGGAATGCCCAAACTATGGATTAAGATTATTGGGTCATTGATAATCAGTGCTTTAGTGTAGATAATGATAAATTGCAAATGTGGTTATCTGTTTGCCACCCCTAGCCATGTTTAAGCCATCATTGGTTTCATCCTCATTCTCAGTGTCAGCGTTAATTGCATGAGGTGACAGACCAGTGGAAATCCATATTATAAGCCTAGTGAAAATATTTTACCATCTGTGTCTTACAAGTTCCAAGAAATCACATCTGATCTTCACAGTGCTATCCTGTTTCCCTCTGACACCCATGACTACTCAGCATTGTAGGATGAATAACCTCCAGTTCCTTAATTGCCAAAGCACCACATGTAGAGTATGCCTTCAACAGTTATCTTGGCCAACTTCTTATCACATGAAAGATGGGGGTATTTATAGCTTGGGTTGTCATTCATGTGTTTGAAATTTCATGCCACATATGTGTGGTGAGTGGGTATCCATATGATGCTGAGCCTGTGCATCTAGGAGAAGAAAGGAATGCCTGGCCAGTTGCACCCTGTTGAATTGCCGCATGTGGGATGATTCCTGCATGGCAGGACAAGTTCCCTAATCCTAACAAAAAGAAAAGGTATCTCAGTTTGTCTTACTGATGTGTGAATACATTCTGGAACAGTGAGAACATAAAGTTCTTGCCAAGGCAGTAACAATCAGTATGGAAGGTATTGGAAAAATACATTCACCTATCAATGAGCTGTGTAATTACAATGGACTGAAAGTCCTGACCCATTTCTTGTGTTGCACCTGTTCGAAAATTCACAGCTCAGTTACCTAATACCAACTAATTGGAATTCTAAAAGACAAGGCATTGTTAATTACCATCTGTTTATCACGGTTTAGTCAGACTCATACTCCCCTAAAGAAGCCTTTAGCCTGGGCCTCAGCAGCCCCAACCACAGCATGATATTTATGTCATCACCTCTCTTCATGACGTTAGTTTGTCATCATAGACCCGTGTCCTCATAAGGCATAGCTATACCTGCTAGTGGGACACAAACAGTGCTGATTACCAGGATGATGAAATTCATCTATCTACAAGGTAGGTCTCGGCAAGCTTCACACAAATGGTCAGCAGGCATTAGACTCCTGCAGGGTATCAAGTAGAATCAGTTGTCTCAGTCAAGGAAAATATTATGGTTCCAAATTTGCAAGTCAGTGTCAGCAGAACTGCATATCTCAGGTTTGGAATCCCAAAAATATAGATTATGGTGATTGGGTGAATTGATAATCAGTGATTTGCGGTAGATAATGATAAATTGCATATACAGTTATGTGTTTGCACACATAGCCATGTTTATCCCTTCACAGTTTTCATCCTCATCCGCACTTCCAGCATTTATTGCATGAGGTGACACACCATAGGGATGGCATATTATAGCCCTGGTGTAAACATTTTACCATCTGATCATTCACTGTGTCTTACAAGGTCCAAGATATCTCAACTGCTCTATTTCACTCTGACATCACTGACTACTCACAATTTTAGGATGCATAACTTCAAGTTTCTTAACTGCACAAGCACCATATGCAGAGGAACCCTTCACCTGTTCTCTTGGCCAATTCCTCATCATATGAAGGAAGGGGGCCTTTATAGCTTAGAATGTCATTCATGTGTCTGAAATGTCATGCGAATTATGTCTGGTGAGTGGGTATCAACATGATGCTGAGCCTGTTCATGTAGGCCAAGAATGGAATCCCTAGCCAGTTGCAAACTGTCAAACTGCTTCATGTGGCCTGATGCCTGCATATCAGGACAAGTTCACTAATCCTAACAAAAAGAAATGGTATCTGAGTCAAACTTAATGATGTGTTCATTAGCCTGCTAGTAAACTGTGAGTCTCTGTCTCCATTTTGACCCTCAGAATGGTAACCTAGTGATCTCCCTGCAGTCCGTTGCCTTCACTCTTGACAATCCTGTGCAGAATCTATGCAATATTGGAGCATGAATACATCCTGCCACAGTAAGTACATGAAGCTCTTGCCAAGGCAGTAACAATCAGTATGGAAAGTATTAGAAATATACTTTCACCTATCAATGAGCTGTGCAAGGAAAATGGACTGACATTCTTCACCCATTTCTTGTGTCCTATCTCTTTGAAAAATCACAGCTCAGTTAAACTAGACCTACTACTGAAATTCTAAATAACGCAGAATCTTTAATTTCCATCTTTTTTTCATGGCCTTAGTCAGATTGGATTCCAAAGAGGCAGAGAGAGGCCAGGTTCTCTGGATTAATTTCACTGGATTCCTAGAAGGTCTTGTTTTCTAAATTTGAAGGAGGATATCAAAAGGTGACCTAGGTACTTAAGCTGATATTTCGACGAAAGTGAAGGTGAAATGATTGAGCCACCAAGTGTGCATCCTCGTTCACGTAAATGCAGAAGTGAAGAGATGGAAAAGAGCTGTTTGCTGATGCTGGCAAGCTTGACATACATAGATTTCGCCAAAAAGTGCCTTCCT